TACTGTGGCGGACTAACGGTGCATTAAACAGTGTACTAACAGTGTACTAACAGTGTACTACTTGGTGTATTAACAGTGCATTAAACAGTGCATTAACGGTGTACTAACAGCGTATCACACAGTGTATAACCAGGTGCATTAACAGTGTATTACATGTTTCCTGCAGCTGAGGTGCCGATGCCCCGGTTATCTGCTTACGGAGCCTCAAAGGCGGCGCTGAGTGTCTTCTCTAAAGTGATGAGGTTGGAGTTATCCGAGTGGGGCGTCAACGTGGCTCTAATCCAACCTGCAGGCTTCAGAACAAGTAGGTCCGATTCTAATGGTTTAAAGATCACATTCACATCTTAAATGTGTTTAACCGGATGAAGTGGACACAAGAGGAGAACTACAGCTCCAACCGTTCAGGGGAAAAACTGAAATCAACCAAAATAGAACTTTTGTGGTTGAAAGCAGAGAAACCAGCCGAAGTTGTGCTGCGACATGTTTAGTCTACTTTAGACTTCCTGTGGATCTAAACTCAGAGTAAAGGCAGCTCAGACCTTCTGTTCAGTTTTAGATTGTTTTGTCTGAATTATTTTCTTTTTTTCTCTGAAGCTCCTAAAAACATTCTTGCTCAGATCTTTAGTCCTATAAATATAACAAATGTACATTATATGCAATTACAGATGTGTTGGCATCATGTATTGTTCTTATTGTCTTTTGTTTGTTTGGTTATTCTTTAATTTATTATTTGTTGATGTTGGGAGTAAACTATGTAGTTATACTTTAAGCGTCTCCGTCTCCGGGACTAACATTCATTTAACCGTCTGACGACTCGTGTTTTGTCCTCAGATATCTTCGGGACCAGCGATGACGTCGCTCGCTACAGAGCTCAGATCCTCTCGGCTGTTTCCTGCGATGCCAGAGAGGATTATGGGGATGCATACATCTCCTCCCTCCCCAGAGGTCTGTCCAGGATGTCCCGCGAGTCCTCGGAGGACGTGTCTCCCGTGGTGGACGCCATGTCTCACGCTCTGCTGTCGGTCCGTCCTAAACCTGTGTACGAGCCCGGGAGGATGGGCCGGCTGCTGCCGCTGCTCCACCGCTGCGCTCCGACCGCCGTGTTCGATGCCGTCATCGCCGTCATCACCAAACACGGCGACCGCAGACCGGCGGGACTCAGCAGGAGCCGAGGCTCATGGGACAAATACAGAGTTCAGACTGATCTACCGTCAGAGACTTGAAGCTTCTTTTATATGGCACTGTCCCTTTAAGAGCTATTTAAAGAAGTCACGTGACACGTGAACACAGAGCTGTGAGTTTAATGAGCAGCGTCAGAGAGATTCCTCTTTAAAACACAGATGTTTAACATCCAATCAGCCTAAAACACATCTGTCTCTGCACATGTGGAATAAAATAAAAAACTAAAGATAATTCCGAGTCACATCCATAAAGACAAAGTGTTTCAGTCGTGAGGCTTCAGAAAGACTCTTGCTGGTTTCCACCACGTTGTGGTTCACGTCGTCGTCGTCTTCTTCTGTCACACCTCTCTGTCGCTTTGTAGAAAACTTCTTCTTCATGCTTCTCACTAAACTCTCGTACCTGCAGAAGAAGAAGAACCAGAGAGTTCAGACGGATAGTGTCTGATTATGAAGTCCAGTTTACAGCCAATGAGCAGCAGATAAACTGTTTACAGCGGAGGTCTTCAACGTGTTTCAGGCCAAGGACCCCCAAACTGATAGAGAGATGGAGCAGGGACCCCGACTATATATGTATTGTATAACATTGTGTTTTATATTAAACTGGGCCTAGTGCCATGTATAAACATACCTCTTTATTGTGCATTCAATACTAAGCTTTTTAAATAATACACAGGTTCATATATTCATGTTGTTATTTTAAACATGTGAGAGGTACAGTGAGTAGGGAGGCCGTGCCACTGCCATTTATAAACATACCTGTTATCTTTCATACAATACTGAACTATTAACATAATGGACACATTCATGTATAGAGAAAAAAAACACACACACATATATATACACATATACATATACATATATATACACATATATACACATATACATACACATATATATACACATATATACACATATACATACACATATACACACACACACACACACACACACACATATTTTTACATATGTTTTTTTTAAATTGTCTAATCAACCAAAGATTTCGCAGACCCCCTGTTGAAGACCTCTGATTTAGAGCACAAACGTTCAGAAAGTCAGGAAGCAGAAGCTGTTCGGTACCTGAGAGCCATTTCTTCATCTGTGACGTCCGTCTGCATCCTGCTGGGCTCTTCTTCCTTCTCCTCCTCTTCCTCCTCTGGGTTCATCAGCAGCATCAGCCTCTGAGACAAACAACCACAAACACTCTACATCAGCAGCTCATCATCATCACATTCACATCTTTATGAGTGAACACATGAAGCTCCTCCTCCTCAAACATCCGAGTCTTTGTCCCTGAGTTTTACCGCGTTCCCTGAACTCAACACGTGGCGAGTTCAGGGGTCAGAGACGAACTGCGTCTCACAGAATAAATGTTTTCATGTTCTCACTTAAAGGGCTCCGAAAGAGAAGAAAGCAGCTAAATATCAAACGCAAATATCCTGTTGTCCCTGAACACAACACGAGGCCTTCAGGGAGACGAGGAGGAAGAAGATTTAGATTTTTTAATCCTTGTATTGATGCAGGAGATCACGGTCACGTCATCTCTAAATAAAACACAGCAACATCTCACACATGAGCGCTCAGCTCTGTACTTCAGTCTTCGCTCTAAAGTTGAACTTTCACCCTGAACTAAACATTAGAAAGTACGACTGAGACTCAGGAGAAGTCTTAGATTCATCTGTCCAATCGTCTCCAGTTAAAGCGGATCGTCCCCTGAACGCACCGTGGTTCAGCCGGTTCCATCTGCAGGCTTCTTCTTCTTCGACGTTGAGGCGTCGTCCAGCAGAACGAGGTCTGCGTCTGATCCGTAGTCCAGGTTCCCTTGTTGTGGACAAGCAGCAGCTGAGCTGGATGGAGCGAAGCAGCTTCTGCACTGCAGCCTGCAGCGTGCTAGAAGTGACGCACACACGTCCATCGTGGAGGTGCTGCCGCAGAGCATCTGAGTGGAGACTTCAGATCTTAAAGCACGTTCCTGTGGATCTCTCCCACCGCTGATGTTTAACGATGTGATGCTGAGGCTCTGCACTGAGGGCTCAGAGAGACACTGTGAGGGACATGATCATCACGCTTCGGTCTTTAACACTTCTACCGCTTTGTGTTTCTATAACAACACTGATGCGTTTTTAAAGGCAGAAACGCTTCTTCTCATCCAGAAGGTCAAATCAGTCAACTTTCATAAGAAAGTTGACTGATTTGATGAATGTCGTGATGTCGCTGAAGTGATCGCTGACTTTCATAGATTTCTTTTTACATGTTTGATCTAGAAAAGAGTTTATTTCTCTCAGTGAGTACAGATCCATTGGTTTTCTGGAGGTTCCAGTCACAGACTCCATGTGTGACTCAGAGTCATGCTCCACGTCCTCTCCAGCTAACAGCTGACTGTTAGACACACTGGGTTCATCACTGGTGGAGGCTGCTTCCTCCACGCTTTCTGCTGGCTGGGGTTGTCCAGTCTGAGAGCTGCTGTTCTCTGCAACATCGGCCTGTTGCTCCTCCGCTCGGCTCTGCTCCTTCTCATCTTTACCACCGGCCAACGCCCGCAGGTCCGCCCGCAGTGTTTAGTGACACCATTTGTGTCCCACTCCTCCACACTGGAAACACTTGAGCTGTGCGGAGCTGGCGTACACCACGTAGGAGCCGTCACCGTGCTTCACTCTGAAGGACACCTCCAGGGTTTGAGTCGGTGAGTCCAGAAACATGAACAGCTGCCGCCTCAGAGACTGAACGTGCCTCAGTTTAGGGTCTTTACATCCCAGACTCACTGTTTTTAGTCGGCTAGCAAACTTCCCGAACCTCCGGAGCTCTTTCTCCAACAGATTGTTCTGGATAAACGGCGGAACACCAGACACGGTGATCCGCGTGGAGGGAGCTGACAGCGGGGAGACCTGCACGAACACGTCCCTGATGGAAGACTCTGCTCTCGATCAGCTGGTAGACATGAGGCTCTTGCTTCAGGAACACCACCACTGCTCTGTTCATTCTGGAGGCAAAGCTGAGGTCATCGTGTCCCACCTGCTCACCGACAGCCAGCAACACCTCCTCCACCGTCACGCTGTTATCCGGGGGACGATCCTCACTCCCTGCCGGAGAGACGGAGGTGGCGTCTCCGAGGACGCCATTCCTCCCGAACGCACCTCGACAGAGCCCCGATCACTCACCACACAAAGCAGTAAACCGTTCAAGAGACTCAGCTGATCATCCGCCTCAACAGAGGAAGAAAACCAGTGAAAGATCCGAAGATCAGGAACCATTCAACACTAGCAGCAGTCACACTCACTGGAAACAGAAAAGAGGAGAAGGAGGAGGAAGAGATGAGTAATACATGAGGAACAAACCTCTACTTCTGGGTTAAAACCTTTGAAGGAGAAGCGACCGTACTTTAGCTCCTCACAGGGAACGAAGCTCTTCTCCTCGATGATGACGTTCCTGAGAGCAGAAGAAGACATGATGTGACTAATAATAAAACAGTTGATTTACAGCGTTATAGATTGTTACGTATTTAATAAACTGTATCTGCAGTACGTTACATTTAAACATTAGTATACACCAAAGACATCGTGCACACTGAGCGTCCTCACTACGCCGGAGACTCTGTGCGACGCGCGTGTGTGTGTGTGTGTGTGTTCTCGTACTCCCTAGTCTTCAGCTCAGGTAGGTCCAGGTACCAGTGCTCATCACTGATGATCCTCTTCTCCTCTTCCTCCAGCTGCTTCTTCGTCTCCTCGTCCAGACCTCTCTGCATGAACTGAACACAACAGTCTGAAGGTCTAATGTGTGTGTGTGTGTGTGTGTATATATATACATACATATATACACATAGTAGCATGATGCATCAGGGGGAGAGTGGTGGTCTAAACACGTGTCCTCTCAGCCGCCTTCGTTTAAACATGAACACACCGAGTGTTTATTCGTCTTTGAGACGTTTAAAATCTATTTAGTGGATTAATTACACGCAGAATTCATAACTGGTTTGAAACCTACATAAACATGTATAAAGTCAGCGTTTAGCACAAATAACAGTTTTACAAAAAGCGGTTACACTTTTATCTCTGAACGACGTCCAAAGCTACAGCTAGCTAAACACGGCTAGTAGCTTCGTTAGCTTCCTTAGCTTCACTCACCTTCATGCGCAGAAGGTTTTTGGAGAGTTTCACGTTGTCGTCCGCCATCTTTACTCAGTTCCACGGAGAACAAACTACACTACACTACAGGAGCACGAGACATGAGACGGTCTGGAGATAAACGCACGCGCAGCGCCTCCGCGCAGCTGCTGCTAAACTCAGACAGAAGAAGTCGATCCGAGAGCGGCTGATGTTAGATAGCAGTCCGGCTAATCATCATCATCATCATCATCATCATCATCTTCTTCTTCTCCTCCTTCTTCTTCTTCTTCTTCTTCTTCTTCTTCTTCTTCTTATTGCGGTTGGCAAACAGCGTCCATAGTCCAGTATGAATCTTCTTCCTCTGATGTTCAAGAATCTGAAAACATGTTTCAATATAAATCGATAGGATGACGTCAGTCTTTATGGTTTTATTTATCTTTATTGTGCGTTCAGCCTGCAGCTTAATAAATGAGTTATATTATTAATAAGAGTTACATAAACACACACATGTACACTCATTAACATCTGTGAACACTGAAACATATTTAAACATTTTATACAACTCATCAAGAATCAGGTTTTTATGAATTATTTTAATTTCTCAAAGGCATGAGTGTAAAAGTACATTGAGTACTTCGATTTAAACATTTGTGTGTTTCTACTGTATTACTACTTCAGTAGTATTATATCTACTATAGTATTTCATGTTTGATTAGTAGCTTCTACAAGTCAACACACATAGTGAAGCATGCTGGGTAACGGTTCCAGACCATTTAAAGTAAACAGCACACATGAGATTAATATATGATTTATAAAATGAAGGACAGAATAAAGGACTCGTGGACCACTAACTCCTCCAGAGACTCAGGTGAACTCGTGGAC